GTCAGCGCGAGTCGATTGCCAGCGGGTCGATGACACCCAATATAGAGAGCGCCGGCATTAAGTTCCCGGAGATCAAGGCGTCCGGTGCGACGCTCAGGAGTCAGCGCATGAAACTGCCCGCAGCTGTGGGCCAGAAGAAGACCAAAGCTATCGAGCAGTTGCTGAATGAGTTGAGCATCGAATTGCATCCCATGCCCACAGAGGATATCTGTCAGCACTTCAACGAACTCCGGAGTGATATGGTTCTGCTGTACGAGCTTAAGATGGCATTAGCCAACTGCGAGTACGAGTTGCAGTCACTGAAGCACCAGTTCGAGGCCTCACAGCCCGGCAAGACTCTCGACATACCGACGCTCACTCTACTGACCACCCCTTCCGTCGAGACTAAAACCGACGGCTCGCCCACCAAAAAGATCTCCGAAGTGATAGATCTGGGCTCAGGACCGGGAACTCCGAACGTAAGCATTGATTAAGCCATTAGTTGTTTGAAGTGTTTTTAACAATTGATTGCTTTGTTGTGATTTGACAGCGAAAGCGAAGGGCAGCCATAGAACAGGTGAACCTCATGAAGAAACTGAAGAAAAACTAGGATTTCATGCGTTTTTTGTACATTTAATTTAATTTCATAATTGAGTCACAAATAAAGTGTCATTTTTTGTCTGCTATACTGAATGTGATTCCTTTGTCGCCGAGTCTGTCGACTAGTGGCGTGCCCTCGAAGGCCAGCGCCGGCGTCATGACTCCGTACCTGAGTTTCTGTTGTCGCATGAGATCCAGTATTATGAACGAGATTTGTGTGACAATAGCCGATGTGTCCAAATACGCCAAATCCCCTCCTTTGATGGTAGCGGTCATTGTCTTGTCGGGAGGTATGGACGGCTGGAAACTGGAGTCGCTGTACGCTTCGGACCAACCCTTTCCCACAAGGATTAACTCCCAATGGTTTTGTAGGAGTGTTTCCCTCTTGGGTTGCATTTGTCGGTTGAAAGTGCCGAATGAGAAGATGTGCGGGTATTTCATCAACAGTTGGCGACCAAACGAGTATCGCGACAATAGGCTGACCCCTACGTTCACAAATATGAGGGCAATCAGTGGGCCCCTGGAGTTCACTGTGAAATATGTCTCTATTTGGACGGGCCTTTCACCCGAAGTCGTGTAATTCGATAATTGACTTCTGGCTACAACCGATCGGTCACTACCCGGGAAAGGGACGCAATAGCCCAATGAATTGCGAAACGTCTTTCCCCTTTTGATTGTATGTTTCCATTTGTATGACTTGAAAAGTGTTGAATAAAGTTGTCGTCGGAGTTGTGCCAACTCGTGCCGATAGGCGTACCCGTAGACCAGTGAGTGCCAGGTGGCAAAGTTGTAGGTGACTCGGGAGTCACTATCTGTAGTCACCCGGAGATATGTTTCGACGGAGTTGAGAGTGCCGTCGAACCGGCCTTTGAGGAACTGTACCCCGAGATCAGCGGGAACTGAGTCGAAACCACACGACCCTACTATAGCAACCTTGGCATCGATGGCCTGTTTGTGGTATTTGTGTTGAATAGTTTCCAGAAACTGCGGTTCGCCGCTGACATCGATGTGATGGCAGCCGCTGGAGATACAGGCGCTCACCACCTGTTCCCCCAGCAAACGGTATGGACCGCAACAGTTCACTATCAGTCGACTATCACTACACATCCGGAGCAACGAGTTCTTGTCGTTGATGTCCACTTCAATGACAGGTATGTCCGAGAAATGACTTTTGTTTTCAAGCGATGTGTCGCTTAAAACTTTTTGCAGTTTCTGTTTGTCTCGACCGGCGATTCCCCACACTATAGGCGCTGACTTGGCTTTGGATACACTTCTGGCCATCTCTTGGACGACGTACCGGCCCGTGAAGCCGGTGGCGCCCAGTATTACCACATCTAACTTACGTTTGGTCAGTAGTATTGCCGTTAATCTCATGTTTGTTGGTAATTGAGATTCAATTTGGGGATGAGATTCAACTGAAGTTTATATTATGTAATGAAAACACTTTATGTACTTATTATCAAACAGTCATTCACTTGATTTGCTGTATCTGTCAAACCAAATGCGATTAGAAGTACATTGAGTTGTGATTAAACATACATTTATGATATCATATCTTGTCTCGAGTTTTGTATTTAATATCTATTTAGTATGAGTTCAATGTTAACCATAAATTGTAATCATGATACATAGGATTATTTTAATTTTGGAATCCAATTAATCTGGACACTAGCTAAATGGTACAACATGCATGGTTGTATATTTACTAAATGAACCTGTTATATTCTAATAGGAAAATAATTCTAAATACAACTCAAACTTGTTTTCCTGTTTGAACACCAAATGATTGGTTACAAGTTTCTGACATTTAATTCCTAAACAATAATAACTTACGAAATGCTAATAAAAAGTTGTTGTAGTGATTTGTCCGCATAATTAACTACAAATTGTTGATCAATTTAATGCCATATTAATACAAGTGAATTAAATTTAGCAAACAAATTATTTATATTTTAATTTTACAATTTTAATATAATGGACGTAAATAAAATATTGCAAATTTGTGTTAATGTAAAGCATTAACTTTTAAAATGGGATATGTTTTAATTAAAATATTAATAAAATTTCAATAAATTCAATTAATACCAATTAAATATAAATAAAAATTAGACTAGTATATTAATATATTTGTATACCTCAGGGTCGAGTAAGTTATTTTTAAATTTATTTGTTGATTGAATTCAATTTGGGAGTTGTTTGACCCCTGGTATACACCCTTGGACTTCATCATTTAGCTATACACTGTGAGACTTGATAAGTGTACAAACTATAATATAATATTATTATATTTATCTTAATCATTGTTATTAAACATTATATAATAGTAATGTATCATGAAAACTATTTTTATTATTTAAATGAAACAAATAATTTTAACATTTTATTGTGAAATTATGATGTTTTAATGGGTAGTAATAAATATTATTAACATACAAAACGACTTCACATTTTATTAGTCCAAAAATGTAAATATTCATTAGTATTATAGTAGACAATACCGGTGGTGTCGACCACAAACACGTTATGACTTTCCTTACGATTGGATCCGTAGGCGACAAACGACTTGTCTTCAGTGAAGTACCCGATTGTACACCAGAATAGAGTTGTGCCCCAAATGTTGGGCCAGAACTTGAACTTATATTCTTGCGTTAGGTTTAAGTTCTTGTACTCGAGTTTGTCATCCCTTGAGGAGCACTGACATGAGATCAGTTTGGAGGCGAAGTTCTTAATCGTCACCGAATTGCTCGTCTGATTCGCAAAGTTTTAGACAATTGTCTCATTAATTAAGTGTTTAATCAAAGTTGACAAACTTTTTTCAAATACTTGCCCCATATTTGATCACTAAAAACATGATTAAAATGATCTTGACCGACGAAATCATTTTGGGAAAAGTTATTCAAAAAACTTTTAGAAATGTTAAAAAACTTTTTTAGTATAGAGATGTGGATCAGTAGTACTGAAACTGAATGCACGCCTTATCGCCACCAAAGGGTTTACAAGAATTTTCTCTATGAGTTCACTGTATTCTAGCCTTTGTCTGCAAAACACAATACAAACAATTCTTTTGCACAAAAAAGTCACTGATTTTTAGTCTAATGACACCAAGAAGTTGTAAGTTATAGGCATAGCATTAGTGGTCATTAGTTTAGACTTCAGAGACCGGTTTCAATAGGAATCCATCAATACTTTTGTAATAGTTTTTATGATTTAAAAACATTTCATCACATTTACGGGTATAATACTGGTATCATAAACGGTTTACATAATTAACAACAATATTTAAACATAAATGCGTGTTGAGAAAAATGTACTTGAGTATCATGGTGATTTGGATCATTATACTAAAATTTAGGAAAAATTTAAATTATTAAATAAAACATACAAAATGACTTCTCAGTTGGGAAAGTATGCAAATGTGAGGGGAGTATGAAGTAAGACATGGTATTATAGATATGGTAATAATAGTGTCAATGTCTTTTTCTCTTTTTCTTAATCTTTTTATTAGTTATAAATTATTTATATAACAAAATGTTTGCAATTATTATCAATGCATGTCTATATAAAAATTTCAATATAACAAGCATGCATGAAATTAAAACTTTTTAATGTACAATAATCGTGTATATATTTCATTTGAATTTATATGGATTAAGTGTCTTATAAAAAAGTCTTGAATATTCCTCTACTTATCAGTAAAACTTATGTGAGATTTAAACGAGACTTTTATAGCATTGAGTCCATTGAGTCCGATGTTTGTCTCACTGGCGCTGATGTCAACTTTCCTTTTAAACTATATTAGAACAGCAAAAGGGTCATATCGGTCAATATGGGCACTTATGAAAAGGTACCAAAACTACACCTATATATTATATAAATATCTTCCCTTTGCATACGCGTAGGATTTAAAATAAATGCCTTTTTGCTAAACTCAAGAGTGTTTGTAATTGACTACAAAAACTTTGTGTCTGTTTGGCGCCAATGAGTGATCACTGAATGGACACAATGTTTGTCTCATTTGGACATCACTTGCAGACACAGACACACAATGAGTGCTAAGAAGAGACCAAAGTTGACACCAAAGACGTCCGCTCGAGAGGGCGCCGAAGACATGGTGTGTGAGATGTGCTCCACAATGGATGACAGCTGTGAAGAGTCGGTTGTCTTAACGAATCCACGGCTGACTCGTCTGTACGAGAGTCACACCAATTGGTCCGCCGATGAGAGACCGCA